TGTTCTCGATTTTGTCAAACCATCCGATCTCTTGTCTCAAAATAGCCGCAAATGCCATCTTTCTTAACCTCATTGTCAGTCTCTCCCCCGCAATGCCTAACATTGTTATCTAAATTGAAATTAATTTCCAGTTTAAACAGTTGAAGCATTTAATAGATTATATTAAACTACTTGAGTGACCGAAACAATGCCAACGCCGACAGCAATAGCAACATAATAGAGGGCATAACTAATAGATTTATCCCAAATGGTGTCCACATTTGTCTCTTCAGCAAACACTGCAACTAATAGACCGAATAAATAGGAATAGAGGGGAACAACGAGTCCATAGAGTACTGAACAAAAGAGGCCACAAAATATGTAATATTTGTCGACTGCAAGCATTTTCAATAGTCTTGTTTGAGGAAAATCCTTAATTTCTTCTTCTTCCGATTCTTTATTATCGTTAACTATACTATTGAGTGCAGAATTGGCGGAACTGCTCATTACACTTATGGTCCTCTTATAAGACATGGGATCGAGGTCTACATCATCCAAATGGTGTTGTTTTATGTTTTCAATTCTATTATTTTTACTCATTTGTTGAGTGATTACTAAATTGAAATACAATCCTTTTTTATCCATCAATTCTCTATGAGTTCCCATTTCTAAAACGCGACCATTTTCTATAAATATGATTCGGTCTGAGTTGACAATAGTAGACAATCTGTGGGCAACTATTATAGTAGTCCTTCCCTTTGAGGCCTTATCCAGCGCTGTCTGAACCAATGCCTCGGACTGCATATCGAGGGCAGAGGTGGCCTCGTCTAACAATAATATCTTTGGTCTATTAATCAAAGCCCTGGCGATTGCAATCCTCTGCTTCTGGCCGCCCGATAGCTGTGCGCCTGAAAAGTATACAAATTATATCAATCATAAAAGGCAACCAGGTACAATTGCACTAATGTATAATTAGGTACAGTACAGTAAACTAAAACCAAAACAAAAAATATTATTCTCTAACCTCTATCGCCAACATATGTCGAGTAATTATCCGGTAATTTACTGATAAATTCGTGAGCATTTGACTCAATAGCTGCTACTTCTATATCTTTTTGAGTCACATTTCCAGTGTGTGAACCCAAACTAATATTCTCCTTAATGGATGTATCAAAGAGGACTGGCTCCTGACCCACAACACCGATCTGCTCTCTAAGCCAACCAAGATTTAAATCTTTAATATCATGTCCGTCAATGAGTATACTCCCAGATAATGGATCATAAAATCTTTGAATCAGTTGAATGAGTGTAGACTTTCCACATCCAGAAGGCCCGACCAGAGCTACCGTCTCTCCGGCTTTTATTTTCAAGTTAAATGTCTCTAAAATAGGTACTTCTTGTCTCATTGGATAACTGAAGTTAATGTCTTTGAATTCTATATCTGCTGTCAAACTTTGAGGTATTTTTCCAATTTCTGAAGAGATATCTATTTTTGGTTTCCTTTCTATGATATCAAAAATCATAGCAGCCGTTCCCCTCGCCATATTGATCGCCTCAAAATGTGGGGCAGCAGCTCCTGTATATTAATTAGTGTTTAAAGTTGGGTATGTTATATGGATAGACATATAACCAAATGAGACTTTTTGGAAAATAACATTTACTGTATATAATACTCATATTCATTATAAAAGCATAATATACAGTAAATGCTATTTTCCAAAAAGTCTCATTTGGTTATATGTCTATCCATATAACTCTGTATAAATGTACAATATTATTTACCTATATTATATCCAGCACTTAATACCGACCAAAATATGATAGTAACCTTTCCAATGGTATACTCATTTGAGTTTTCATCCATTGATTCAATGATAAGTTTGACTCCAAACCAAATTCCTAAAGCCATCCCTAAATATAGGGTGGAATAGAGGACTCCATTTCCCAATCCTGTAATAAAATTCCTTTTGATTCCACTCCTCATCGCCGGCACTAAATTAGTCTCATATCTGTCCACTTCTTTGGCTTCTCCGCCGAATGCATAAACCGTACGAACAGATGATATGACTTCTTCGGCCATATTACCGGCCGATGCGTACGAATCCATCTCTTTGCGAGCAAACGATGCCTGAACCTAATGGTCAGTGGCATTATAATTGGCAATTATTAAGACTTTAATTTCTAGTTTTATAATTTGCAAATTCATATAATAGTAAACATAATTTTAATAAATCTCAATTATCTAAATGCTTAATAATTGTCTAAATGATAAATAGTTTGCAGACCTTATTCATGACACCAGTGGCCACTGCAGTGAACGGAGCGATGGCTAACACAACGAGAGTTAGTTTCCATCCGTAAGAGAAGGCAAATATGAGGTTTAAAACGACGGCGCAGACTGTCTGTATGGCGAGACCTAACTTCTCATTGAGTCCGTCCTCAACACGCTTGAGATCTCTATAATTATTTGTAAATTTTATATTCAAGATCATTTATAACAATGATATATAAATAATTAAACAAAACCATACGCTGAGACTCTGGAAGCAAAATCTCCTGAAGATTTTGAATCAAACCATGAAATCTCTTGTTTGAGAACAGATTGAAAGTATTTAATCTTAATGGTATGGATTTGATTTAAAGCTGCCAAAGGAAATAAAGTCATGACAATAAAGTTGGCCAGAGTTATGAGAATCCATGCACCGAATTGAATAGTGCTCAGGGTATATATTTCATTCATGAATTCTGAAGCTGTCATGGCATTTGTATTGTTTGTCTCACGTTTGCCACTCTCGTAGTTCACAAAGACATCGACAATGGATCCAAACAATATGTTGAGCGAAGGCCATGACATGCTGGCTACCAGTGCTCCTATAAAACCGATGCCCATATATACCTTGTCTTTTGGTTTAGCATATTTGAACTAATATATAGAAAGTAATTATATATTAGACAGTAGAAGACATAGAAGTTTGATGTGATCAAGGATCATTTGATGTTTAAAATATAATTTACTCACTAATTGTAAGAAGGAAACGGGCGGTACTTTCGTTTCTTCATTTGTTTTATTACTTGTTTCTAATTCTTCTTTCTTTTTACTAAAATAAATAATAAATACATTTCAGTTTAAATATATTAAAATTAAGACACTTTAATAAATTATTAAAATAGAAATAATTGTACATCTCTGTCATTTTTCAGATCTGGATTTTTATATATTTTAACAAAAAATTAATTTCTAATTAAAATGAGAACTACATTTATTACAAGAAATAAACTAAACAATAAATTTGTTTTTTCAATGTTTTTATAAGCTTATTAAATCAGATGTATTCATAAATAATTGTATTTTTATCATGTTGTTAATATTATCGCATGTTTGATTGTATTTTTATAATTATTGTCAAATAATAATAAAAAATTGACTCAAAGTTTCAAAGAATTTTGTGATAATTTTCTGTTGTGCTTTGAGAAAGTGTACTAACCATTTATGATTTAATAACTCAAATAATGCTTTATTCACAAAATTATTCTTAATTTTTCAAAAGTCTTATTAATTAATGTTCTACTGACTGATGGGTTACAAACAATCCTATTTAATAAATATTGAGATCTAAATAGATTGCCAGTGTGAACATAGTATGATATAACTTAGGATCAAATAAGTAATTAAAATCGTGTAAAGGTGTAAAGGCTTGTGTACTCCCTTTTGGTTACCCAATATTGACTCTCTATTCACTCGACTTCATATTTAATTCGTTGTATACAATAGTTGTAAAAATTGTATTGAAATGTATTTGGAATTTAAAAGCAATTAGACAATTATTTATGCCATAAAAGTAATCATAACTACTAAGTAATCTTATGTTGATTTTTGCAATATTTAGGATCTAATTAATAGAATGTTCTTAATTTTAGCAAAAGTATAAATGTAAATCTATATGTAAAAGAATCCAGATAAAACTTTAATCTAGACAAACTTTTCTTTAATATGTCATATTATACTGTACTGTACTATAATATGGTGAGCATATAAAATTTAATAAATTGTTCTGAAGTTTAAATAATTAATATAATGGATTTTGCACAAAACCTAGAATATAAATAATTTCAATAATTATAAATATAATATTAATATAAATTTAAACTTTTATGTAGGATTAAATTTAAAGGTACAGAATATTAATGATGTCACTAATGTATTGTATAGTGATTGTGAACTGTATGTTACATTAAGCACTGGAAGAATATATCTTTAATTATATTATAATAATAATATTAAGATACAATATAAAAATAGAATAAAATAATATAAAGTGATATCTCAAACTAAACTCAACGTTCAGAAACTGCTTAATAATAAAAACAATCATGTAATCATTTAATAAATTATTTAACGAATTACTAACGTTTTATAAAAAATTGAATATTTCAAAAGTTTTGTGAAATTATATCAACTTATGCAATTTAATTAAATGTTTTCTATATTATTAAAATAAAGTCAATTCAGATTCTTTAATTACAGAACAAGATATCCTATAAATTAAATTTTATTAGTTTCAACGATAAAGATTGTCTTTATTGAATTTATTAACAGAATCATTATATAGATTGTTTAAAATAAATTTACAATTTATAATAAACTTTAAGGACTTTATCCACAATGAATCGGATGTAACAATTGAAGTCTATAATTAAAGTTGTGTTCAAAGAAATCATTATGTAATCAATAGTTATTAATATAGTCAATGAGTAAACTGGAAGTACAATTGAACCGTTGTTTCTATTGATAAATATTTTTATTTATTTCTTATAACAGGATTATAGATTAATAATAAATAAATTACACTAGAATATTTTACAGATAAGTCCATTAATCTATATTGTGGCTTTAAAAATATATTAATCTTTAAAATAATATTTATTAACAATCACTGAATCAATAGCAGAAGGGATAATAAAAAAATTATTATTAAATTCATTCACACAAAAATACTGTAAACTGTTTCAAATGTTTACAAACTATTATATAAAGAATTTATTGACGATTCCAAACATTATAGATATTGACAACAAACTTTGAATTATTAATAGTAAAAAAACTTCTCAAATGGACCGGTATAATCACGCTTTTAAAATACGTAGAGTAAGTCATGTTTACAGACAAACATGACATCAATTTATGTTAAGGTTATGTGAGCCGTGATTTTAAGCACAAAACATGTTTTGAAGATAAAAAGGGAAAGTTTTGCACTCAAGAGACTTAGCTAAGAGTCTTTAGGAAAGACGTTTGTCTGTCAAATCTTTTTTGCATTAATTCAACTCAAAGTGAATATGTAATGAAAATGTAGTGTAATTTTTAAGTACTTTTCAATTCAGTTAAAAGCAGTTTACATGTGACGTCAGTTCAAAGAGATTTCCAGCAAACTTAGACTTAATGTGTTTTCAATAATATGTATGCTTTACGTAACAAATTAATGACATGTTTACAGACTTATTATCATATCTTTCTTATTAATAAAAAATAAAGCAAAATATTTTATAAACAAAAACAATAAATACATCGATTATAAGTATCCGGTAATTTATGAGTCACACCTTGTTTGAAAATTATGTGAGAATTATTAAATATATTATTATTTAACAATTGTAACATAATACAGTATATAAATTTAAAAATGCATTTTATATTGAGTAATGTAAACTTTACACTGTTCAATGTTTTAATCTAGACTAAGTTAAAATAATTATTGAATTTATTAAGTAAGTTATTAAACAGATCAACATGATATTTTCGTAACTTGAATATTTTGTTTTAAAATTCAAATTCAAACTAAATTATTTAAAATGTTCAATAATTTTAAAAATTATATTCAAACTTTAATTAAAAAAGTTAAAAATTAAAAGATATACAGTGCAAACATAAGCAAATAAATAAAAATGACAGTAATATATACAAATATATGTAAACTTGTTGAATTAAAAACTTACATAAAACGAATTCGTTTGTATTTGTTTGCATGCTTTGAACGCTTCAATGAATTCTCATTTATCACTTGTTTATCACATAAAAGAGACTCATTTTCTTTCAATTCTTCATTCAATTTATTCATACTTTAAATTATTTAATAATATTTTTAATACTACTATTACTTTTAATTCAATTTTAAAAAGTTTACAAAGAAATATGAATTAATATATCGATATCTTACTCAATTTAAAGTAATTGAAGTTTATGAAGTTATTACATACATTGTACAAACAACTGACTTGTGAGCAATATGAAGAATTGAAAATGTATTATATTTCATGACATTGGATGCCATAACTAAACAATACAATGTATGAGTTGACAAATATTTAAAAATAATTTTCTAATAAAATAAATTATCATTAGAATAAATTATACATTGTAAATCTCATTAACACAATAGTTGAGTGTCCACAATGTAAATTATCATAATATCATACAACTTGTAAATATTGTGTGTATTTCTTGTTTTTTAATAAAATTATTTTGTTTAATGAACAAAAGGTTTATAAGTTATATAATATCAATATTTATAAATCCATCGATAATTGAAAAAGTGGTAAACATTTTAATATTTATAATTTATTTAATTTATTCTTAGCTTAAATCATGTGAACAAATAGTGATTAGTAATT